TAAAATAAACTCAATGAGGATTTGGGAAGAGCTATCCAGGAAAGGCAAGCAGATGGAGAGACTAGCTGACACATAACAATAGCTGGTGAAATATTACTCTTATTTTCTGTAATAAACACCAAGATCAAAACATTACGCAAGTTAAATTTCCTTGAAAGGTTCCCAGCAGGAGTTTTCCTTTTTGTTTGTGCAGTACGCGATTTCCTCTCACCCACAAAAAACATACCAAGAATGTGCATGTGCCACTAACACTAAGCAGCACTTCCTTAATCACTCATTTCCAACAATTTATGGATGATCAGTGGCAAAAACGAGCAAAAATAATGAAAGCATGCAATGAAAGCTCATTGAGACAAACCGGCTTGGACTTCCTACTCATTTCTGTGTCTCTTTAAGATGGGGGTCTGATACAAATTAGCCACTGGGAAAAAAAGTCATCTGGTCATAAAATACAGTACAGGGTCACTTTTATGTAAGTTTGCCAAAAGGGACATAAACCAGGACAATTTCAAACTGTGACACAGGATAGAAGTATATTAAAAAAATCTTTGTTCCTCCTCCATTGTGCTGTCATGTTGCTCAGCTTTATAGACATTCTGAGCACCAGCTCTGGCCTCTTCGCTTCCACCTGGTCTACCTAATTAATTAAGCAAGGAAGTTACCTCAAATTTTTGTACTATTTGTTTTTATTATCATGCACTTCTTTTGATGTTCCAGGAGTTAACCTCTTAATCCACAGACTTTGTGTGTTGTGTTCTGAACATTTTGGGATGTCTGGATAATTTGGATAATTGGTCAGGATGTTGCTGTCGCTCATGTTAAACTTTATGCTATGACTTCAAGTTCAAAGATCAGTATTAAGGTAAAATACTTCATAAAGACTTTTTAAAACTCTACACTTGTGATTATGCAACACCCAGTTATTCCAGTTTGTCACAGTGCTAAATTGCACTATTTGTATTTTCCTACAAGGAAATTAGTCCTAAACATCTTCGCCTTTGTCAACTTCAAATAAATACAAATTTCTGCTGAAGTTACATCAAGAGAAAGCATATTTTAAAGGTCAAGAAAAGGTATAGCAATTATCTCCTCAAAAGTGGTTGCCTCCTGCACACAGCAGCACACATGTAATTTTCTGTGCAGTCTGTTATCACACATGGAAACATCAGCACTGTTACCTACAGATGCTCAGCTGCAAATATCACAATTTTTCTCTTTTGGAGGGAATGATAAAGAATGAGGTTAATTCTGACACAAAGAAACACAGCTGACATCTTTGCTTCATAACTACTACAGAATCTGAGCACATCACTGACAAAGAACTGAAAGATTATCTAAACAAGAAACATAACTTTATGCACAGGCTCTACAAAAGAGGACAAGGAGAACATAGAAAGATACGAAACAGTTTTTAATACTGATGCAGGAGATCAAAGTTACATCAGATATTCCGATAGCTCAGTTAATACACTGGCAAAGGTGTAATGTATCACTGTGACCTTCAATTATTTCAGCAGTTTTGAAAGACTAAATTCACATATGTGCACAAAAGTACATGTGTCCATAAATACACACATGGCATACACACATACATGTGTGTTTATCATTCACCTCCCAATACTGTTTCTATAATTACTGTCCTGATATCAGAAATCTGCAACTGCCATTAAATGGAAAAAAACTAGAGCAAAGAGCAGCACTTAAGCTCTTTAAAAGTCAATCCCCCTAGGCCCAAAATGCCCTTTTTTGAACGAACATAGTGGTTTTTTTATTAAAAACTAGGCAAGGAATCAGTTTGAATTTCAAGTACAGCACTGCATCCGTCCATGGCGAGTGTCTAATTTCCGAATTTCTCTCCTCTGCACAATATGCAAGTCCTTGGTTGTTTTAAACTGTTGCCCTGGGGAATCGAAGTGAGTCTACAAGGGGGGCCATGTGCCATTTAGAAAGTATACTAGCAGCCAAGGAAAAAAGCCACAGTAAATTGGAAGATGGTTAATCAAACCCATTCTGAATCAGGAAATTCAAACAGTCAAGAGAGCGGGGCTACCATATAGGAACATGGAAAGAAAGGTTATGCAAAGCTTTAAGAGCAACCTATGAGCTATTTGAAATATCATAGCTTGCAAAAAAGTCAATGCATAAAATCAGCTTTTATAGCACAGTCTATGATAAACACTCAAACAGATGGCTAAAAACTTTGGGGGTTAGGTCCGTATGTGATAATAACTAAAATTACTGTTGCTATTTAATCTGAACAAAGACATCCACTAAAGAGTAAAAAAATCTGTTCCATTTCAGAAATGAACCTCTTTTAATTATTCATTTTCAGAATTTTTATCAAAATCCAACAAGTAACTCATATATGAACATGTTCAAACAGACATCTCCACTGTGCACACCTAAATCTCAAATGACCTATCTAATCATTATAATGAAGGTAATTCAATAATAAATTCAAGATGACTTGCATAAAAGCTTCCATTGCAGTAGTCGTTTTACCCAAATTTTGAGCTGAGTTGGGTATCCAGAATCAACTGCTTTTACAACTCCCAACTGAAAGATTAAAGATTACATATCCATGCCAAACCTCTTTACTGAATGTCTTCACATTTCCAGTAGCTCGCTCTTCTCTTAATGCTGCAAGTTTTGCCAAATGCATGAAATGTTCTTTAAAATTGAGACCACTGAAATCTGATTTTTCCAGTGAACAGTAATAGCATCTGAATAACGTTTTATCTTTCTGGTCCATCAGTTTGATGTGATGGATGACAAAATAAAACACTTTTTTAAATTTACATAAAATAATTTGTTAAAGCAACAGAATTCTACAATGTAATCATGGTCTCAAAATATTCTCTGAAAAGAGATATAACAAAAATCTACAGGAAGTAAAAAAACCCTTCACAGATTCTAGAACTGAAAAACCTACATGTAATCCTGAGCTTGATTAGTCATAAATTTTCCCAGATTCTAAGTACCCAATTATGTGATGTAATATTTTAAAATATATATAGTAATTATTGCAAGTAGAATTGTTTATCTGCATGAGCATCTGAACAGCACATTTAATTTTAACTACCATCTTAGTCCAGAAGTGACATCGGCCATTTATTTTCCAACAAAAGTGATCAAAGTATGTTCATATAAAAATAGACCACAACTTCTACATCTTCACCATTGGCCTTAGGTATGTCTGCATCCATTTTTGATACTTCTAAATAGAGCAGTCAAGTAGAATAGACATTGGATATAGGCCTTGAGCACTTATACCAGGAATCACATTTGGCATCTGAGATGTTCCAAAAACATCAAGAATAAAAAAAAAAAAAAAAAAATCCAAAATTGAGTTTGCTGCCCTTTCAATAGGTGGGTTTTAATACTAAAATCTGATCTCATCTACCCCATGAAAAAGCCAAACTACTCTAAAGCAGCAATAACCATCTTTTTCCTGCCATCTGAAGAAGATAATGGTTCTATCTCATCTGCAGTTACAGATGCTTTCCAAGCTTAAACATGTAATGGTCATCTTACTTATCTTGAATGGGATTTATTGATAGCCAGTATCACTGTTACTATCAAAGTTCCATGTAAAGTGCAAGTTCATCCAAACTCACAGCTGAAGGGCCCTGGGTACACATCTGCAGCTTGGTCCATACATGGCAAAGATGGAGCAGCATCAACTCAGCACAGGCAACACCAAACAACATCCACGCACCAGCAGGGCCCAGCCAGGGTGGAGTTTTCTGACACAGCTGTATTGCTCAGTCTAAGTAATATCTCCCACTACCCTCAGCTGTGGGATAGTTTTTGCTTCTCCACACTGTTCTCTACACTTAAAATTTTACTTAGAAACTACTGCATGAAGGATTTTTTTTCCCTCTGTCTTCTCTCTTAAGTGAGCCCTAAAATCCCAGCTTGAATGCAGCACTTCAGCTGAGTTTTCCCTAATTCCACCAAGAGCAAAAATGGCAACATCACTACCTCCATGCCTGTTTCTGTCAATGCAACCAGAAATTACGTTTCCCTTCCCAACACAATTATGCCTGTACATTATATGCCATCCATCGATGATTCATAGTCTTTCATATCCATCTTTAATTTATTTTCCAGACTTCAGATCACTTTCCAAGACCCTTTGCTTTCTGAGAACAGTCATCCAAAGGGAGCAGAATTCCCTCCAGTGTAGTATCATTAGAAACAAAGTGTAATCATTTGGATGATAAAGATTAATGGAAACGTGCTACAAGTGGTCCCCAGACAGTCATTCCAGTTTAATCTATTTGATATTTATGATTTCAAATTCATTTTGATGTGCCTCCCATTATAGTAATTTTTCACTGTAATTCTTTAGTTCACATATTAACACAATCGTTATCATTCTATTGTTCAAAAATTGCTTTGCCAAGTTCCATGCCTCACTGAAAAACCTGGCCCTCTTAACTGAAGTATATTCAACTAAGTTAAATATTTTAGGGTATTCTTTATCCATTTAAGATAGGGTTTTTTAATATATTATTGTAAATACTGACCATACTTGAATCTTCTTTGGGACGTTTGTAATTTTAAAATTCACAAATCAAGTTTGTTTTCACAAGGTCATCTGTTATTTAATCACCCTTCCCATTAGCAAGAAACCTGGGCTCCTTTTCCTTGTTATGTTATTTCTAATGTACCTATTGAACCTTCTCTCCTTTTACCATCCCCCCAAAAAACCTCATTTTCAAAAAAATAAAATCTTGATTAAATAATTTCATTTAAAAAAAAAAAAAAAAAAGAGTTAAGTAATTTTCTGGATCTCAGTACATGTAGCTTTTAAGGAGACCGTTTTCCCCCATATACATGGCTTGTGCAAGACTGTCCAGCATCTTCACATAAGCACACATATCCCAGTGCCAAATCCTCCCAAATTTAATTAATTAATTTCACTTTCATCAGAAACAAGGGCTGAAGAGGAAATATATACTGCAATTACTCCATACTTAATGGTGTTTTCCTACCTTTTTTAAGCCAGCAAATCCTTCTGATTCCAGGAAGAAAAATGCAAAGGGCATCAACACAAATAAACATAGATTTGAAAAAAGAGAAGCAAGATTCCACAAACCTGCAACAAACAAGAAAAAGTTTACATTATACATTTCTAAACTTTAAAACTTAAAGATACTATGTTTTCCTCCCTTATATATAACCATGTAGTATACATAAAAGTGGTAACAGAAGCCATGTTTTTATAGATATAGTTATTGGCAGGTCATTGCTGAAAAACATCCATTTCTCTGTGTAATGATCTTCCAACAAAAATTGGATACCAACTTACACAGCAGCAAATGTCTGAAACCACAGACTACTTCCACAAAATCTCACTGAAGGTTCTTTAAGAACTGTCTTCAAAGTTTTCAGGACAAAAGTATTTTACTACTGTCAATGAATCTCACAAAAATCAGTTCTGTGTAATCACTTCCTCCCATATTTTTTCCAAGAGAAACCTGGACAACCCGTGGATTTTAACATGAGCAATACACAAATGAATTGCCACCTCCAAATCAGAAGGTACCATGGGAACAGCAACAACAGCCTTCCACAAAGGGATGACTGGCTCAGTAGGCAAGAGGAGAGCAGTAGATGTTTACCTCAACTTTAGTAAGGCTTTCAATCATCTCTTAATAAATCTCCTCCCAGTCCAATTAAAGAAGTATGGTCGAGGTAAGTGGACTCTGAATATTGGCTCAGCTTCTGGGCTCCCAGGGTTGTGACCAGCAGGACAAAGTCAGGCTGGAAGCCAGTCACCAGTGCTATATAAACCCCAGGGAGTTCATGGTGGCTTTAACATCTTCATCAGTGACCTGGGTGATAGCAGAGACCACATTCCCAACAAGCCTGCTCAAGAGAGAAGAAGGGGAAGAGCAGTGTCCTCCCCTGCCACTCTGATGAACCTCGACAGGCTGGACAAATGGACAGAGAGCAGAGAAGAGCAGACTCAGGGAGATTTTATCCATATGTAAAAATATCTGATGAGGGAGGAGGAAAGGAAAACAGAATCAGATCTTCACTGTGGTACAATGAGGCAACAAGCATGAACTGAAAAACTGGAATATCTACTTAGTCATACAAGGAAAGAAGAAAAACAAAAACTAAAAATCCCAAATGTTTTCCACTGTGAGTGTACTCAAACACTGTAACAGGTTGCCCACAGACTTTGTAATCTCCACCCTTCAACATATTCAAGCCCAAATGGGCAGTGCCTTGAGCAGCCTCCTCTGACTGACCCTGCTTAGAGCAGGTTATTTCCAGAGCTCCTTCCAATCTCAACCATTCCGTGCTCTACAGGAAAAATCAACAACTAATTACAACTAGGACATCTGTAAGACACATGTGACATCTGCAGGAAGGGAATAGGTTCAGCAAACAGCCTCAAGTGATAGCTGATTTCCATTAGGGTATCTGCCCTATTAAGATTTTCTAAGCTGAACACTTTCTGAACAGCCCGTTTTGGTGCCTAAACATGAACCCATCATCACTCATCCTATCAGAAGTTGTACAGGATGTGGTGTTTCTTCTTTATAAAAGCAGAAACTCACCTGCAATTTAGTAGCTAAGGGGCCTAACTACTGTCACATGTTCTGCATCCTGAAAAAAACAGCTTTTACTTTGTAGAGAAAAACAGGCTCAGTCCCCCACCTTGCCCAAAGCACACATTTCCACAATTCTGAGGGACTATGTTACATCACCTGAATATCCCTGAAAGAAGAATATCTCCCCATGATAAGAAAATTTGAACTAACAGCTTTGTTTGTTTCCTTTCTTCCCATGTAGTGGTTTTTTATCTTTTCTTCTTTGAAACTCTTCATTTTCGAAAGAGTCAGGAAGGAAAGAGACATTTACTGTGTGTGAGGAGAATTCATTATTGAAAGCATTTCTGTATGTAGTTCCAAATGTAAAATAGTTAGCAGTGATCTTCGCCTATACCCTCTTAAAAAATGCTTTCAACATATACTTCCTTTCTCCTTAAATGACATTACTTAAGTTTGAAGGAGAAATAAAAATGAGGGGGGAAGAGGGAGGCAGGGGACCAAAGGAACTTCAGCAATTGACAGCACCCAGACACCGGGAACCAAACTTAGCCAAATACACCACAGAAAAAAACCCGAGAAAATTCCAGAAGATGCGTGAAATATAACACTCGATTGCTAAAGAAAACAGACTGCCTAAAGGTGGCTAAACTCCAGCTAACAAAGAAGGGGATTTTTCCTTTTGAATTTGCTTAGCCAGGAAGCTCCTGTTACCATTCGAGAAACATTCAGGCATAGCAACATCAGCAAGAATGTCATTAACAGCCCTTAGGAGGGGACATTAACTCAGGCAGTCTGCTTTTTTTTTTTTCCCTCCCTAACAAGTAAGACACCAGAGTTAGAGTAGAAATACTACTAGATGGGGGTGGGAGTCTTACTTCAGCAGTTTTCTCTAACTGAAGACAGACAGTGCATTCAGTCACCTAATGCTGAATACCTGCTTGTCCCAATTTCAGCAGCTCTGTTACACATGTATCTTACAATGCAAGACAGTGCTTAGGCGTTGCATTGTGTGTAGAGCATTTTATGGAAGGGAAGAGTGGTGCATATCCAGGGTGATTTTTAAGAAGCTAAAATCCACTAATTTGCACATTACCACTTGACAGCAACCACATTTACAGAATATTAAACTACAGAGCTACAACATGCACCTGAAATTGGGAGGGAAGGACAGTGATGTTCTGCTGCTGACACACATAAGCACTTTCCTCCAAGTAAAGAATATACAGAGCCCTCCATATTTCTTATCCTAATTTGATAATTCAGAAATCAAATTAAAATAGACCCAGACAAAGAATTATTTCCTACTACGCTGACTGCATCCTAAAACTTGAGACTTGCAGATATCAACATATAGAAAAGCTTTAAGCAGTCTAATAGAATATTTTAATTTTTTTTCCTATGCATTTGTAGTGACTTCAGGATTTCCCCTATAAAACATGTTCATAAAACATAGAAATTAAAACCTCTTAGTCTCTGGCAAACAGATTAGACCCTGAGCAATTTCTCATCCTGCTTATTCACGGCAGTTTCATTACGTTTTACCCCCACCTGGTGGTTGTACCCAACAGCAGCACAGGGGAAACACCAGCTGTCAGCGCTAGGTCTGGGTTTAGGTCAGCATGTATTAATTAGGTAAGAGTGTTTATAATGGACCCAGACTTATCCACCTTCTGCAGAAGTTTTTCTGACTTTCTGCCTTGTTTCAAAAATTTGAGGCATATATTTTTTAGTTTTCTCTATGCCACAAATAACAATCTGAAGTATAATACCTCTTAGTGTCAGGTTCAAGTACCTCAGATTATAGCTGTAATTGATAAACCAGGAAAAAGTGAAGTGTTTCCAAGCAACACAAATTTTTCCATTTGATAACGCAGTGCACAAGCCCTTCACGAAGGCTATGCTGGACAGAGACATAACACCGGCTGGGCTTCAGTGCCGGTGATGGCACCGCGAGCCCTCACAAGCTCGCTCAGGTATTTCCCGCTGCCCCCGCCGAGGTCCTGCCGGACACGAACAGGGTTTAGAGCCGGGAAATGCGGGTGTGCAAACCCGGCGAGCGCCACAAGAGGGAGCCCTTCCCCCAGGGAAACGTTCCCGCACACTGATCCGGAACCTCCTGATGCTCCTGGAGCTCTTCACACCAATTAACCCACACAAGGTTCACCACAGTCATACATACCTACCCCTACCCTAAGCTTTGCAATACACACTTAAACCTGGAAGCACCAAGATGCTGAATTTACTTTCTTGCTAGACACTGTTATTGGACTTACAGAATATAAATTACACTGAGGTACTTTCCAAAGATTATCACATTAAAATCAGAAGAAAAATCAGAAAATTCAAAAGCCTTCTTATTTGACAGCTACTTACTCCAGCAGCTTTCTTGTTAACCCAAGTTTCCTGCTGTAGTGCAGCAATTCTGACAAAGGGAAATTTTATATAATCTTCAGTCTCTGAAATATTTTACTGCCCTTTTTCCAAAGACAATTCAGACACAGAAGGAAGGATTTATTTTATTTTTTCCTTATGTTTGGGAGTGAAGCACATAAAGGTCTGAGCAGCCAAATCCTTGTGAAAAATAAGAATTAGCTGGGGTTTTTTCCTCCCATGGAGGACACATACTAAATTAACAATCCCCTAGGATGTGTGACAAAACAAATCATAGAATAACTCAACTAGAAAGAACCTCTAAAGTCACATAGTCTAATCTGCCTTTAAAAAAAACTAAACTGCAGGTGCAGTCAGGTTGCTCAGGGCTTTAACCAGCTCAGCTTTGGAAAACTTTCAATATCTCCCAGTGTCTCTGGACAACCTTTTCCACTGATCACTCATCCCCACTGTGAAGAATTGTTCCTTTATGTCCTGCAAACATCACTTCTGGACTACCTCTTCACAAAAAAGCAAACAAACAAATACAACTAAAACTCATCCTTGCAAGTGAGGGACCTGGAAATTCATGGATTTGCTATCTCTATTATTAGATATTTATAAAAGCATACATTTTTTCAGAGAAAAATTCTCTCAAAGTCGAATTACTCTCTCTTCACAAGAGCTAAAAGGACATCACAGTTAACTTTTTAATTATTTTTTCCATATTAAATAGTTTCATGTAGTAAACCTACTTTCTCCAGCCAAATCTACCAAAGAATGTCCTGTTTTCACCAGTTACTATTTTACTGCACATCTTTACCACACGATACGCTTCTATTCATAGCAAGTTCCTTAAAACATTTTTTTATTATTGTAAGAATAAATTTAATAGTATCATCTTAAAGAGAAAGGAACATAATCCTGCATTAATACACAAAGAAGAAGCTTGAATAGCATGTTTCAAGTTAGCTTCTAGTAGCTCTTATTTACATTAATATCCAAAGCAGTGAATTTGGTTTAATTCCATCAAGTCTGCCTAATTCTTAAAAAAAAAAAAAACAAAACACCAACAGAACAGTTAAGACAGATTTTGTGAAATATCACACAGCAGCAAAAACAATGAGCCAACAGCACATTAACAATTCAATTAGCATATTAAATGAAAATGGAGTTACCAGTTTGAAAATAAGAACACATCTTAGCAAGTATAATGAAGACATCCATTTTAATTACATTATGCCGAGTACTAACCATGAATTAGTGAGCCATTTAACCACTGAATATAGTAGTTTTGTGGAAAAGAAAGCAGGATCTCATTGCTGATTATTGAGAAAGGTAGAAGCAGGACTGCACCAGCTGAAACTGCTAGAGTGAAGGTGCTCAAGAACAGCCTGAAATTTAAAGAAATGTACCACTGTTACCACCAACATGCTCTGAACAGGGGGGAAAAAAGTAGTTAGCCTACCTGTTAATGAGTGTCTGAAGGCAACACATTCTTACTTCTTACATTGCAAATGGGCAGGAAAAACTGGAATTTCCACAACATTTCACTTCCAAAAATCAAATTTAGGTTACCAAATAGTTTACTACAGAATCTAGTAAAATGGTTAGTTTTTACCAACTACCATAATTATTCTCTTGGGACTTGCATGCATTCAATTCCAATATGATACAAAGGTTAAATTACTGGAGTTCATGAAATACCTTTTCATAAGTCTCCTCTTTTGGTTTTCATTTCCCACATACACACATATGCAAAAAAAAAAAATCAAATTCTATATTCTTTGTACAATTTTTTAAAGCAGAGTAGCTTTCTAATATCTGAAGAGTACAATTATACATAAATAAATATCTTAACACCAAATTTTTCAAAAACTGCTTTTCTTTCACAAAGTAGTTATTTGAGTTATCTCATAGCTGTAAAGTCAATACCCAAAAATTGTCAGAATTATTTCAAATATTTAAGCTTATTCTTTATAGATACTGAATACAACTTATAGCAAATGCCATCTTGTGGCACGAAAAAGAACTGTGTTCTTAAAAAAAAAAAATTCTTACACAATAAAATGCTACAATAAAATTAGAAATAATTCTAAAAATAGCATGAAAAAAAATACAGCCTTAAATAGATCATCACTACAACAGGAGCATCAGTAACGTGCTTACAGAAATCTTACTTTTCCTTAACAGTTTACAAATCCATTTTTCATTCACACAATACTTAACCGAGAGAAGAAAGTCTGAGTGACTAATTTTGGGGAGGTTTTTTTCAATATTTTCATGCTATTGTTATTGATCTCTGAGACTTTTTTTTTTCCATTCATTTAAGGATGTTTAAGTATTCTAAGCCAGAATTGTGAAACCCAACACACTATAGAAAGGTGCCACAGCAGTTTGGCTTTGCTTTCTCTACATCCACACCCCTTTAAAGTCCTGACAATTTGCCATGTGAAGAAAACTCTGTGTACAGATGCTTGAGAGTTATTGCTTTTTGAAAAACAACATGCACACTCCTAAGGAACAAGAAAGCTGAAAGAAAAAACAGCATTTTATATTTATAGCAACACTTTTAACAAAATGCTATTACTCTGATGGAAGTGCTAATTTTGTCTCAAATTGTTCTTCATTCAAGCACAGTGTATGTTTGTTGCATTTTAAAGCTAAATTGGAAAACAAATGCAGGGGGATAACAGTTATCACGACAAATTTTACCCTTTGAATACTGAAAAAGGCAGAATCACAGGTGGACCACACGTGCTATAAAAATAATTCAATCTAGAAGAGCTGCCACTGTAGTCTTAAAAGCACGGGAGAGATGCTCCTGTACTTGAGAGGGAAGAGCTTCATGGTATTTATAAATATGTATTGTTCTCTAGACCTGAAGTAGACCTTGTGGCAAATGAGTGGTTTGAATTCATAAAAAGTATCAGTGTCAGACACTACTGGGAGATTTACATCTCCTTTGTGCATCTTCCACGCTTGCCACCACTGCACACCTAAAAGTGAACAGCTTGCAATGTACTCGGCACCTTCCCAGGGTACAAGACAAATCAGTGAAGTACCCAACAAGCTCTCCTTCCAGGAGGATGACAGTACCACCAGGGAAGAGCTCAGAACACTGTCATAAGCAAGCAGCAGGTTCACATAGTTCAGCAAATAATGTAATTGAGGGGGGCAGCAACAGCTCATGGACATTCTGTAAATCCTGAGGCATATTTAAATTGGAGATATTAATATCCAGCTTCACAAAGGAACAGGATGAGGAGAGAGTTGCTGGCAAACCAGCAGGTCTGGCAAGGGTTTGTCTTCCTCTTGTTATTCTTTTTTAAGCTTTTTTACAGTGATCAGATACAGATGTCTACTTCAGAGAGAGCTGTCTTCCCAGGATCCACTGCCTCCCTTGACCGCAGGGGGAACTTAAACACCTCCCACCTAAAGACCTACACTTTAGAGACCTAAACTTAGGTGCAGGTCTTGCACTGAGTTCTACCTCTTGCATCAGGTCTTCACACAATATTCTGGCATACCAGGGCTGTTATTTATCTGGAAGCACAAAAGATTCCTATCACAACAATATATTGAGGAAAAAAAGTTCTGCAAAGAAGAGTTATACATACGATATTCTGTTAACAATGGCATCTTCGTCCTCCTGCTCATCTGAAAATTAAATTACAGCAGGTTATATTCAATACTTACATGTCTTGCCTCAGGCTAAAATGTATATACATAGGAATAATTTTAATTTGCAATTAAAATTTAGATGTACTGATACAATTTATTAGCATCAATATTTTAAGAAAGTTCCTTATAAAAATGAATACTCTTACCTTTTTCCCCCTCCCCCCAGTTGAACTCTCTTCAATCAATTTAACTAAGTTATTTCACTTTACCTAAACAATCAAAACTTCCTGGAAGCACCTTCCAGAGGGCTCTGTGGCAATCACACTTTCAGACTACTACTACCACCATGGCTGCTACTAGGAACTGTCCCTCTGGGCACCTCTGAAACCAGGGAGAACAGGCAAGCTATAGGAAAGTCTTAGGGTCCAGGCTAACTACTACTGAAAATCCCTAAACTGATGTTTCATTTTCAGTATTAATGTCTCCTTAAAACAAGAAAGCATACCCAGAGCAAAAGGGATGGCCACTCAGTTGCTTCCCCTTACTAATCCCTCCTCCCAGCTCCTGGGGGTTTGTGACAACAAGGACAGGGTCTTGTTATTTTTATTTGTTTTGGATTTAAGGTTATCATGACTTCCCTTCTGGTACTTCACATTTTAGACAATTTTTGTTTATTTATTCCTCACTTAATATTACAGCCATTTGAAATAATGTCAACGTCTAACTCGGAGATCAATCACTAACACATCATTTATTCTTTACACTCTCCTCTACATCAGCTTACACAAATGTAAGCATTTTTAAATCTGAAATCATTTTACGTTCAGCTTTCTTGTATTTGTCAGGTTTTCCATAAGAGGTAAATCAAATTTATTTTAAAATCTAAACATAAACAAAGTCAAGTGTTTTATGTACTTAAGAGTCATGCACACACTTGAAATAAACACATAACCACTGACATAATGCTATTTTGAAATTCTTCTGTAAAAGTACGTGGGGTTGTTGGGTTTCGTTGATGGGAAGCTCATGGTATTTTGAGAGACTAAGTCAAGGTCTCTTATGAATCACTTTGGCTAAAGAGCTTGTTGGATAAACAGTGAACAATTTGTCCTCAAAGAGTTCCAGCCGTGTTAACTCTTCAAAAATGTCTCATCAGGAAGATCCTATCAAGCTACAAAGTTTGCCTACCTAAATACTCACAGCTGCAGAGCAGCTCCTCTTCCTAGCCAAGACCAAGTGCCAGAAAAAGGTAGTAAAAGTATCTTTGCATCTAACAGTATTTGCCAAACCAGTTTCCCCTTCCTGTTTTTCTCTATCTCCAAATGGTAGCAGCTTTGTAGTATCCAAAATACATACTAGGATCAGAGGATAATATCAGTCTTACTTCCTAAGTTTAAAGAAGTGCACCTTTTTTTTTTAAGGTATTAAATTTCATGAAGCATTTACTTTTTAAAATGTGACTCCTATGAAAGCAGCTCTATCATAACACAGGTCACTACAGCTCAACAAACAGTTTCCATTAAAGCTCAAAGTGCCAAGATCATCAGGCACAGGAATGTTTCTACAGCATGACTGACTGTTAGTAAGCACTGAGGTCCCAGATAAGCTGCCAACAGTCGGAGATTCTGACATTTTATACACATTTTTATGCTACTGTCTTTAGAAAAAAATATAGAAGAAAATGATGGGGCTTCCTACAGCCTAGTTTCAGACAGACAATGTTTCTAAAGGGAAAGAAATTACAGTAGTATCTCAAGGAATAAGACTTCAGTGGTGAAGTCGTAAGGAACAGGTTAAGAACACTGAAAAAACTGGACCTGAGCAAAGCAGGACTTCTAGAAGAAATACAGCACTTTCCTTCTGTATCACTGGTAACATTTTACTTTACCACCTAAAGCCATGAACTTCATTTTGGTACTAAAACACAACTGAAAATACTCATTCTGGAAAAGCTGATGTGAAAGGAGAGCAACAGGATCTAAAGGCAAAGGAGGCAGAAGCGTCTACATGACCTTAACCCTTTCTTCCCTCTCAAAAAAGTTAAAATTTAGACTGTCAGAGAGCCACAATAGAACCAGTGACTGTGGCCCTCCCACTAATAACAGAATGAACACGTCAGCACTCACTGATCCTCTTCTGAGATACTTCAGTGCTCTCCCTGCCTTGTTTAGTGATCTCTGGCACAATGCAGGGCCTGAGACGTGCCAGAGTGGGCACAAGGGAGGGTCTGGGAACTCAGGGCTCAGGGACAAAGGCAGCAGAGAGAGGGCAAGGCAGCAGCACAGACAATCAGGTCAGTCCAGGCTGCCACAGACCAGCAGCCTGGCAAACACTTTGGGTCAGAGATCTTGTTCTTCTGCTTTCTTTTTTCAGAGACAAGAAGAATCCTCTTATTCACTTGAAAAACAAAATTGTTTTTGGATATGTTAAAAATTCTGTGCTTACCTGCTTTTCTTTTGTATCTTGTGATTATGAAGTAGGAAACTATGTAGAGAACAGCAAACAGGAGAAAACAGATCTGAAAAAGAAAAAAAACATCGCATTTATTAGGTTGTGAAGAAATGCCTGGATTTTAATAAACAGAAAATCCAGTCTCAACAATTTAAAACTGAATTCAGATCAACAAGAGTGTATTCTAAGTAAACTTAAAGACTGTGATGTTTTATATCTTATTAATAGAAAGCTAAACACGTAAGAACAGTATGATTAAAATAACAGGTACTGGGCAATTATATGGCCAGCAAGTTTTACTCTAAAATTAAGAAAAAAGCCTTATTTGCAGTGTGATTTTTTTTTTTGTTTGGGGGAAGGGGAGGTGTTTTGTGGTTTTTGTTTTGTTTTTCTTTTGGGTTTTTTTTGAAGTTTGAATTCAGTTGAGTCGTAACAGTTATCTGACTTATATGCCCTTCACGTGTAACCTAAGGGTGATTGTACCCTATACAATGGGCTCTTTGAAGATCTGTTTTGGAGTGAGCTGTTAACATGTGTGGAAAGAAATAAACATGTTTACTATTTCCATCATGTCTTGAATCAAACTAATTCCAGGTGACAACACACACTCCAGAGAGACTCGTGTGCCTACACTGGATGTCCCAGCATGAGCTCATCAAACACGATATTTTCTTGACAGTCAGAAGCCAGGGGCACAATCTCCCTCCTCAAAAGGTTGGGGGCTTATTTCGGCGAGATGTACCTTGAGCCCAGAGTGACTAGCATCAAGTTGTTTCTAAGACGTACCACCAAAATTTCAACACAATAAGGTAAGACCAAATCACCTCCAAATATGTCATAAATCTTGGAGGAAAGGAATCGAACAGCAGGACAGTTTTAACCTACCAAGTCTTTGCGGGGTTGAAAAAAAAAAAGAACTTTATTTGCTCCTGAATGAGGCATCAGTGGCTCAACACTGTTTCCTTCATCTTGATACTATTAAAAACGTGACTCAGTCAGAAATGCATCAAGAAGGAAGCATCTTCTGTGCAGCATAATTACTTCACTGGGTAACAGCTGATCTACTTATTTACTCAATCATTTGTAGACTTGTTGTCTTAAAAAAAATGAGGAGCAGAAAAGTTACCCTAAGGAAAAGGGAAAAGTGAAAGAGAAGGTAGTGATGATTGCCCTAGAAAATCTGCATCTAAATAAGCTCATTACATCCAAATCAGGGGAATCAGAGGGAGAAAGAATGTATCATTCAGGAAGGATGGTCTTTTTATAAAATACTGAAAAAAATAAACTGAGAAAATTACTTCTCTTGGGTAGTCAGACATTTCAGACTGAAAAAACCAAAGTATATCCAAGTGTCTGAGCAAGGCATTTGAGTGCTTGGAACTGCCCTACAGGTGCCTCCTAGAAGTAGGACAGTGCTGTAGGTCTGAAAGTGGCAAACAAGCTCATTTTCTGTGCAGGCAACACACAGGAGCAACACCCAAAATACAGATGCTGAAAATTAGATTTCATAACTAGATCTCCAAATTCAAACATTTAATCTGAATAGAGCTCACCACTCCAACTTTCCTGAGGAAGCTTCAGAGAGGAAAAGGTTTTGATAAAGAATTCAATTCTTTAAATAAATAATTCTAATTATAAAGAATGTTATTAAGATTTAATAAAAAAAGTTGGTATATTTTTGAATCAGGAAGAACAAAAGAAACTGAGAACAGCCTTGGTTTTTCAGTACTCTGACCTAGCTCATCCTGTCAGTATCAGAAAACGTAATGCTGAAAGAGAATCCTTCTCCAAGCTTCCAGTTCCTCTGAAAACTAGACCAAGGCTACAGATAGAGACATCTAATTTTAGGCACCCACTTTTTAAAATCAGGTATCACATATACAGGGTCAGTGAATTCTTTAAAAATCTGTCAGATCCAAATAACACCGTACTGACGTAAAAGAAAGATGTAGTTAAGTTCATTTTCAGCTTAATTTTCTTTAAGACAAGAATAAAAGTTACTGCAATCTTGTTTGTACCTTCAAATAAAACAAATGACCTTTATTCTATCTGTGATAGCAAGGTTACAATAAAAATGTGGGTCTGTACGTAAAAGGTATCACTGAGATAAATGAGGTATTTTGAAGGGCACAGTAGATAAAAACTGTCCAGTAACACAAACTATCAACTGCCGCATTTCTGGTTTTAAATAACAGCTACTTTGCAACTCAACAGTAAGAGATAACTATGTATCTTGGTGTAATTATCCTCCTACTTCTGTCAGAATCGAGAACAACTTTGCACGTTTGATAAAGTCGTTTATTATTGAGAAATCACATCATTTTAAAATTATGGGCAAGAAAACACGTAAATTCTGATAAATGAAAGCTCTAAGATCTTAATGAAAGAGAACTCATAAACTAAAAGTCCTTCATACTGGCCAAAATAAGTCAAGCAGCAAACTCAGAAATATTACTGCAGTCTCAATTTATACTCAGTGAAACCTCTGATCCTGAACTGTTTCTAACCATGCATTCTGAACAGCTTTCCAAAGGGAATACCTAAAGTCAGCATCCTAACTATTTTTAGAGTGGAACTCAGTTAAGCTGGGGAAAAGGAATGTGTTGCCTATGATAGCTGAAGAACAGGCTCCATGTTCTGACATGCTGCAATCCTGGGTTTTTATTCCACATACTGCTGCTTGTTTCAGGATATTCTGTACTGGGAAAAAAGAAAACCAGCCTTGTTCGTATTTGCTCCTCTTCAGTTCACGTTTCTCAATTATGAGTGACTGGGCTTGTGTGCAGCACTCCAGGTACAACCTCACAGTTATAGGAACAGTATTAAGCCCTGCTGTGCTGAAAGTGCTGCACCACATTCACCTGAGAACCACACGAGTAACTCAGCATTATCCTCTGATTCACTGGATCCATCCACGCTGTCCTTCCCAACCGCTTTCAGCAGAGCAACTCTCAAGTTACAGTAGAAACTTGGGTTTAGGGTTCAAGTTTAACACCATGTCTCATTAAAGAAAAAAAAAAAAACAAAGAAAAAAAAAACACCACACACACACCCCTTAATGTCACACTAAGTCTCTGGCTTTGAAATAATTGAGTCCTTTCTAACCATGATCTAACCCTTTTTTGTGTTGACTACATCTCCTGAAGAACTGGGTTTGTGCTAACCAAAGACTGGTTTTCTTTATTTTCATCTAAGTTGAGCAAGATTGCTCTTAACATGAACATAAAAACCCTCTGATATCTGAGGAAACTGAAGAGTAGCTTTTTTTTTTCCTAACATACCACCCTGTGTCATGTACACTACAGGCAGTTTCTTAGTCACTTTACAGCTCTTCTACTAAGGTACACTGACCCTAGTTTAAGAAATACCTTTCAGTGCATTTCCTGGGTATACCCCTTGGCATCCACAAAAGGAACACTCTACCAATAGCCACGTGGCTTCAGAAAACACAGTTCTTAACAATTCCTTATTTAACCTTCCTAAAAAACCTCTAGAAGAGAGCTAACTCACACATTCATACGTTCATAGTATACTAAATCATCTGTCAGCTTTCATTTCTCATCACTTATTAAAAAGCACAGGTAGGTATACTGAAATAGGACACTACTCAAAACAGGACCATACAAAAAACTACATCAATATCTTCAGTGGAAAAAAAAAAAAGCTTTTATTCTTTAAATTCCATCTTTTCTTCAGAAAACTAGAGTATGCAACAGTATTGGAGCCAACACTGGAATATAAGGTTAAATCCAAATCATTTCGCAAGCTGTTTCCAACCAGAAAGCAGGTTCATGCCATCATCTCTACAGTAAGAGCTGACAAAAGTTATGGATGCTAAAATACAGCAAATCTAGGACAAGCTACATTCCTCAGATCCCAAAGTCCTCTGCAAGAAGTTTTTCACTGGAGCTCAAATGAAGCTCCTTTAGGTTTGATTTGCAGAGACAGTCAAGACACTGTGCAAAGACTGGATCCAACCAGGATGACTAAGGATTTCTGATAGCCCCCGATAGTGTTAACTGAAAAAATGAGGAAAAAAAACCCACACTTCACAAGAGGTAATACCTTCCAATATTAAAATTTATTTCCTTAAATTCATTCCAACTTTGAGGGACAAAATAGTTGTGGATCTGTTGCCATAGTCAGACCGGGAAGCTACTTTAAGTACAACTATGGTGGGTTCTCACCTTGTAAGGGAAATACAACTCAGCCCATGTTTGACCAGATGGACCAGAACATAAAGGAAATTAGGAGGAGCCCAAGAATTGTAATGAAGAACAGTTATAGAAAAACAGTCAAGCAAAGCAATTCTTAATCATTTTAATGTTTGTGTGTGTGTGTCCTCCACACCACTCAGTAACTGAAAACAAAACACATGGATTCTGTGTCACATAGAGGGGCTCCCTTTTAACAGGGGGCACATTAAGGAGTCTTCAAACCTGATGCATTTAATTCATTCACATCTCTTCCCATGGACTAAATACAACCTCTGGTGGGACAAGCAAAAGAAACCTGTCTTCCCCTGGAAGTGCTTTATGCTCCTGCTTAGATTACACACTAGACACGCCAAGAGAGGCTACTTGGAGACACACTGCGCTGCATTCTTAGGTATCTGGTATCCAACTCCTCCACAGAGTCGTACTTCTGGATTTCTCACCCAAAGTCATCCAAGTATGATCCAAGCCATTGTTTTGGATCTGTACCACGCAGCTCTCAGCTCCTGTGAGAATGGAGCTGGAGATCACCTGCATCCATTTCGGTTCGTAACTATGTGTCTCTAAGGGGCTGACATTAAACAGGAGCAGTAACAGCCTGAACTAATTCAAATTATGTTGTACTTATCCCACTGACAATTATCAAGGATCAGCTGACACTAATTTGTCCATGTGGATGACCTTTAAAACTCTGGCACTGAAATTCATGCCTGAGACTGGTAAAAGCATCATTTTCTGTTGCAAGTGCTAGACCTACCCTTTCATGCTAAGAAGGACTACGCTCAAAATGAGTAAGATTATCTTTTTTTTTTCCTCTTACAAGTAAGATTTGACCATCTTTTACAACTGTAAT